ACAAAATATAGAGGACAAAAGAGAGGGAAAAAAAAAGAACGGAAATACGAACTTTAATGGCAAACTAAATAGTCAGCTAAAGAGACTGCTGTATCTTAGCAGAAACAGTGTTTTTGGTATTGATGTTGCTGATGTTGCTGCTGCTGTCAGAAAGCATTTCCGATCCGGAAGACCAGTATACAGAGGTAAAAACGTCAAGCCGACTTTCCATTTAGCATTTATCATGTTCGCTGTTGTTGATGTGCATAGCGGACAAAAACCGATAGTGATTAAGACTTCTGTAATTAGATAAACTGTCCGTTGACAAACTATACAAAATTTCTTTAGGAAAAAAGATGTGAGAATGATCAGATTGTCATCAGCATTAGTTCGGCCATTAGCGCCAACGTCAGCAACAACACTCATTAAGTCATTGCTTCTTTTATACATTGATCTTTGAGAAAAGTTTTAGAAACTTTCATAAGCGGTAATCAATGAAGCAGCCAACGTATCAGAGCGCTGCTCATATAGTTGACTGGAAAATGCGTTGAGTAGTAGTCGACGAAATGATAGTCCCACTAAACTGCTTGCAGCTTATAGCTGATGGTTTTGAAGTTGTATTGGTGAAGTTATTTATTTACCAACGGAACTGAACTTTGAAAGTGTACTAAGTATGCAGAATTTATGATGATGCTGCTGTGATAAGGCCTGATATAACTTGAGTAAATCGGAATGATCATCAGTTGAACAATCTAACAGGATTCAGTATGCTTGATATGGTGTCTGAACTGTTTTACTAATCGACAAAGATTTCAGTGATAGCCAACTGGTTGATCGACCTATCGAAAATTTATTTTTGCTTCTTTTTTCTTTTTTTTTTTCCTTTTTTTCTTATCAGTTTCTTATTCCTCTTATTTCCACTTATATTTGCACTTTTTGTGCAAATCGTCCTATGTGTTTTCCATCTGACAATGAAGAAAAAAGAAAAAAAAAAAAAAAAGAAAGAGAAGCGCTTTTTTCTCCATCTCTTTTTGTGTTTATTTTATTTGAAATGTTAATAGTGCAAAATTTTTCTTCTAAAGCTTATCGATTTTTTTTTTCGGTGTTCTCACTTTTCTTATTTTACTTATTTATTTATTTATTTATTATTATTATTATTATTATTATTATTATTATGATTATTATTATTATTTTCTTTTCAATACTGCTGTTTGAATTATATTTTACTATTGAGTTAGTTGTTTAATTGGATAACATTAATTGTTTTTACGTTCACTCAATTGTTTTTTTATTTCCTTTTTGATTATAATCCTCGGTAAATTTGATGTTCAATTCAATTTGAATAACTACTGAGGAGAAGAAAAAAAAAAAAAGAGAGGTTTTTTTTGTGAACTATTTTACGCTTAAAAAAGTTATTTTTATTTTTGTTTTTTGTTTGAAGAAGCATAAGACTGATAATTTTTGACGATGGATCAAATCTGTTGTCAACGATGACTTCATTCAGCTTTTTTTTCTTTGTTTTTTTCATCATTTTCTTTCACAAAGCAAAAAAAAGCGTAGGAAATTGAAAGTGTTGAGTAAAAAAAAAAAGCTGATTTGGTGTTGCCGTTGAAAATTTGAAAAACCAATGGAAGATGTTGTCATGACTGATGCTGCTGATGATGATGATGGTGATGATGATGACGATGATGTCGGCGATGATGATGGTGGTGGTGGTATTAGGGCAGAAGTAAAAGAACAACATGAAGAAGAAGAAGATGAAGAAGAAGAAGAAGAAGAAGTTGAAGGTCGATGATCAAACTATGGCCGCCAGCTTAGCTGTTCTATAGACATTCAAACATACATATGTATGTGTAGATAATTTGAATTCTATTACTGGCTCCTGAAATCATTAACATTTTGCTTTGGTGATTGTGGTGGTAATGGTGGTGGTGGTGGTGGTGGTGGTG